TATAAATTATATGAATATTTAACTTAGACAAGTTGTTGAGGCTTGCACATATTATCCAGATGGGTAAGAATACAAGTATGTCGTTTTCTATTACATGTTTATCGATCGTTTTCATGATTTCTTTTTTAATTGCTTAAAACATACTTTGATCCAGACGTTTATTTCTCCATCTTTGCGATGCACTAGATTTTATTTTATATGAAGGTTTGAATCTTTTAAAAAACAATATTAGCAATGACAAATATCAATGATATTCTTATTATGAAAACTGTCTTTTGGGTGTTGTCTAGCAATATTGACCTGAGACTCATTCATTTTCTGGAGGTTTTTCGTTAGTTTCCGTGATGTATAACGATTTACACGTTATGTTTCAATGATAGTAAAGTACGGAATACTTTTATCCTTAACCTAGTGGTGAAATCGAGTGAATTGTATTCGCGTTGTTGCGAGTTCGAATCTAAGCTCCAGTCCGCGTCAAATCTTCTTTTTTATTTTATTTTTTTAGATCTCTTAACTGATTATTTCGTTTTTAAAATAAAAAGCAACATGAGTTTATAAATCATTTGTTTAATTTCTAGCGATTATATTATTCTTTAAATCTCATAACTTTCAAAAACATTTAATTCTTCATTTCATTAATGTCAGTATGTAAAAACGTACAATGAGTAATTCGTATGCATAAAAACAAAGTGGTCATGTTTTGCTTAAAAAATGATAATAAAAACTTTTATTTCATGAAGGTAACATATTAAGAAATGCATGCTCTTTTTTACAATATTTCTTTCAATTAAACAAGACAAAGAAAGCCACAAATATGTACACACATATTAAATCATGTTTCATCATGATTAGAACCTTCAACCTGCACCTGCAAGAGTGTCGTAAATTTGTCATTAAAGCAAGTTAGGCAAGTGATATGCAAGTAATATAACTTAATTTAACACATATTGTTGTGCCATACATTAAAATTCGCATGGTTTGTTTACTTAATATTCAAATGTCTCAGGTCAGTAATGTATAACAATAAACGTACACGTTGTCATGTTTTCGCATCTCCGTCTTATTTCGAATATAGGACAGACAATAAATATTTGTTAGAACTTCAAACAAAAAGTTATAATGCTTCAATATGTATCCAGATACTTGTATTTGTTTGTCAATTATAATCATATCTAATAAAATTATCAACTGATTTATGAGCGTTGTCATATGTGATGTGACTGGTGATAATTAAAGAACAACAATTATGCCCCAGAAATGGTTTTCTCCTTATTTCCTTAATGTACTTTACTTAGATCAATTACCTGAACGTTGCTTTTGACAATTAGTACGGTTACAGTAAGGAATTCAAAATAGTATTTTGTTTTCATTTTACATAATAACAAATAAAATCACATTCAGTACTACTTTCCTCATGTGGTGTGCATCTAACATGCTCTAAAACCATTATTATTTAAACTTTATAAAACACACGTGTGTCCTCCATAAATTAAGAAAAATTGTATTCCTGTCTGATTTATCATGAGTGTTTTACTAAAAACAACAAGGTCATAATTCTTATGATTTCCTATATTGAAGTGTTTGAAATAACGCCCCTGTCCGTGCTTCGCCCTTGTGCTCTCTTCTGTTTATGCCCGTGGGGGTGCTTTCATTGAATGTCGCCCTTCCTTATCGATCGTTGTTCTTATATTCCAATATAGAGGTAGGTCCTGTGGTTACATTGGGGTGGATCATTCTTTATCCTACAGCCATGATTCGTGTAATTTTCTGTTTCATTAAGGTCTACTAAACGATGTTATATGTCAAGCTGCGGTCTCACTTACTCCCGGCAGAGCCCAGGACCATCCCGGTAAGTTACCGGGATGATGATCCGGGGTGAAATTATTGTTGCGGTCACACTTACCCCGGCAGCACTAAGAAAGTTCCCAACTAACCACCCAGGATGCGCTCCAGATCATCCAGGCAGAGCCCAGGTGAAGCTACGGTTCATGCCGGTGCTTCCCCGTTCGTTCCCGAATGACGCCGGAAGAGCCCCGATTGACCCAGGCAGAGCCCCGGTCGATCCAGGCAGAGCCCAGGACGATCCAGGCAGAGCCCCGGTAGAACCCCGGTGGATTGAAAACGCCCGAAAATGATAACATTGATACATAATTTTTATTTAATATAATATCTACTAGTATTGTTCCAGAATAGTAATTCATGGTGATTTTCTGAAAAATCCTTATGCCATCCTGGATAGAAGGAAAATGGGAATTAAGGGTTTGAATACAAACAAGTGCAATCATCGCAAATTGTCGTTTTCTTTTGAAATGATCCGGGCTTTGCCGGGGCTCTACCAGGATCAACCGTAGCTCTACCTTTATCCTCCGGGGCTCTGTCTGTAGTTACCGGGGCTCTGCCGGCATATACCGGGGCTCTACCGGCTATATCATACCCCGGATCATCCCGGGTTTGTGCCGGCAGAGCTACGGTGCTTCCCTGGTATAACTAAGGGCTAAGGATGAAGCCGGCAAAGCTATAACTTCCCGGATCATCCCGGACCACCCCGGTGATATTAAATATTTTATTCCATCCGGGGTCGAATGCCGGATGTTCCCGGATCATCCCGGATCATCCAGGACGTTGCCGGCAGAGTTACGGATTTACTCCGGTTGTTCCCGGTCGTACCCGGTCGTTCCCAGATCACCCTGGACGTCTACCGGGACTCTGTCGGAATGTAAGTGAGACTGTAGCTTCAGATATGCATTATTTGTAACGTAATAGAGCGATAATTAAGAAAACATTTACAGTATGTTTCCTTATCTATACATTTCAATGTTATAAAAGGGACCCTGGGGCGAGGCTAGTTTTGATCTTTCTGATGGGCATGATTTATATAACTATTGTACGTCTATTAAAGGGATACTCGGGCAAATTAATGACAAAAATATTAGAATGATCTTATGTACTCAAATCGCGCTAAAATGACTTTAAAAGTCCCAGCATGAATTTCTGTATACTTTCTATATATTTTGGGTTTGAAGCGTATATATATATATCTATATATGTTGAACGAAATTTAGACGCCGACATAATCACCAAAAAAAGTCATGTCATTTGATCAAACCCTTGAAGTTATTACAGATATTGCGGATATTAGTGTATGAACAAAACAAGTCTAAGTCATTCATTTGACATGTTCATTAACGTTTCCAGAGCTACTGTGGCAACTATTGTGAAATCTTAAAGCTCTAACCTGACACACATGGGTCAAGTTAGGAAACCACTAATTATTCTTTATAAGGAGAAAAGTTTTGCGACTACTGTGACTGCCTAGTGCATCATTTTGAGGACATTTACTGATGAAAGGAAGAAATGAAAAGTTTGCCTGTGTATTCGTTTAAGCATTGCAACATTCCAAACATCTCAACTCTAGGACATGTAGTTTCAGAGAAGTGGATTCCGAAATGAGTTAACGGCATATTTACTGAGGTGGCTTGTATTAAATACTCTAGGGACTAGGGAGGTACATAGCTTGTTTTGACTTCTCTATGGGGCGGCGTATTAACTTTTACCTTTTGTGAAGAGACTCATCCTTTCAGGCTCTTTTTATTAATAACAATTTAGTGAACCAGCTCTATTTTTTATAACAGTGTCATTCGATATAAATTCCGATAGATAAAATTGAGGTATGTACTTGGATAATTATGATAATTTTGGTAATTCAGCTTTCTTTTCTTTATGTCTCTTTTGATTTTGGAGGTTATTTAACAGTGATAAATTTCGGTATAATCAAGATTCGTAAAAAGGATAGTTTTTTATTTCCTTTTTTGTTTTGTTTGTTTTATTTTCGCCTATCTTTGTAATTATACTATGCTGTTGTTATTTAACAGCATATCGAGCATTTTGATATTTACATGTTCCACATAATTACTTCTGTAATATAAGTCATAACGTATATTTACATGTTCCACATAATTACTTATGTAATATAAGTCATAACGTATATTTACATGTTCCACATAATTACTTCTGTAATATAAGTCATAACGTATATTTACATGTTCCACATAATTACTTATGTAATATTAGTCATAACGTATATTTACATGTTCCACATAATTACTTCTGTAATATTATTCATAACGTATATTTACATGTTCCACATAATTACTTATGTAATATTAGTCATAACGTATATTTACATGTTCCACATAATTACTTCTGTAATATTAGTCATAACGTATATTTACATGTTCCACATAATTACTTATGTAATAAGTCATATAAGTCATAACGTAGACTATCCGATAAGGCATAACATTTGAATCGACTTGGTTTCACATTACGTCACTGTGTTATATAAAACAATACGTTTTACGTATGGAGGCTTTAAGTTCGCACCGTGGTGTGAATTTAATTAATATGGTTATTTTTCTAATGTTGCATATCATCTTTCCTTTTTGTCGAACATTGTTTTGTTCAAAGACTTTGTTCTGTCCAACTTTGTGTCACACATTTTGTTTTTGTACAATGTATCTAAACATTACAACAAAGCTTTTGAAAATTGTTCCAAATTTTAACAAAAGCCATGTTGCACGGGCAATCCCCTTTAAGATTTTTGCTTGTTCGAAGAGTACATGTGTTACAGAGTAGATTGATTAATGTTTGTAATAAAGATAGATAGTTGAAGTAATTATGGTATCATGAATGTGCTCTAGACAAAAATAAAAGGCTTATGAAGAATGTTAAAAACATTGCCGTTCGTTCAGTGCCAATTGTTGGTAACAGTGCTTCTTCAATTGACATATATTTATATTTGAATTTTCAAGGCAATATCTTTGATAGTTTTGGGCAAAATTTATTTAAAAATGATAAGACGATAATTCAAAAACACGAACAAATATAAATATTTCTGTCTCTGAATTCCTTACCCATACTTCTTGATTTTATCACTTTTAGGTCAATCACGTGTATTGTCCTAGAGTTGTGCCACAGACAGAAATGTAGTTCATAAAAAAAACTAGATATAATTATTTCCCTTGGTCAATGTTTAACTCCTAGTTGCCGTCTATATTTTACCAATGCAACCAGTGCTGATTAAAATCAGGCAACACATCCGTGGTAAGCACTGTTCGTTATTTGCAACAATTTTTAATGGTTTTGTCTATATTGAAAGATGGACAAGTCCATGGTAAGGGTTAAACAATTTCCTAGAAATGTATTTTAACAATATCCAATAAACATACACGAATAGGTACACAAACAAAACCACACAAATCGTATACTCATAAAAACTTCCGGTTAGCACAATAGGTAGAGCGTTGGGATGTGAATCGTGCGACCCGGACAGTCCAAAATACTTTCGTTGTGATTGGTCATGAAATCCTTTTTAAGTTCATTCGTAATGTACCTCGAAAAAAAACAGTTATCAGTTCATTGCGGAAAGAAAGGCAACTAGTCCAGTAAAAATGTTTGACAGGCTTCCCAACAACTATACGGTGGCTGAATAAATCCACCATAGAATCCCAAGGTGCACAGTTTTTCATGCTGACCAACATTTCTGTAAGGTATCTTGACCCTAGGTCAAATACTTTTTGGCCAAGTGCGACACAAGTTAAAAATTGCATATTTTTACAAAGTCAATGGTAAAAAATCTGCAAATGCTGAATACATCTACAAGCAAACCCCCAGGTGCACAGCTTCACATGCTTACAAACATTCCTGTAAAGTTGCATGACTATATGTCAAATACTTTTTGAACTACGCGCGACACAAGATGAAAATTGCAAATTTATACTAAGTACAGGACAAAAACTCTGATAAATCTGAATCAATGCACACGTAAAACCCAGGCACACAACTCCACATGCTGGTCAACATTCCTGTTATGTTTGTTATATCTAGCTCAAACACTTTAAGTGCTACAAGGACTCATGGACTCACGTACAGACGGACGAACAAGGGCAATTCTAAATGTTCCCGCCCCTAGAGTATATATGGACATAAAAAACAACAACTAAAAAAAAACAAAAAATAAATAACACATAAACAAGTTCCAGTATCTCAGCACTTGATGTATTTGTCATGGTGAGTGGTTTAACTCTTGCGCAGTTTTGGTATTACAACACCACAAATCACTATGAAAACTATACCAAACGTTGTAACACATACAATGGTGATCATGGTCGGAGCTTTTAGACCAGATCCGTCTTTTTTCTCTGGTGGCGCTGGCTTTACTACAAAAGATTTTTTTGTACAGTCGTAATCGATGCAAAGCGCGAGTTCTGTGAGCGTCATCCCGATTCCAGTTTCTAAGCGTACGTAGCCATTTTCTATGCCTTTAGCGACGCTAATCGCCTCGGCTGACACATTAGTTTCGTGGGCGTCTTCGGTGTTGAGGTCAAATTTTGACTTTGGAGCAATCAGCAAATTATTGTAAACGAGATTTACGGCCGGTATATCATCGTTCGACTTCACACTTGTTGGAAATCCGAAATAAAGTACCCCTTTTCTGTACCAACCCATCTTGGTTGCTATTTGATCGGCAATATTTTCTGCAAATTTGTCTAATTTTTCCATTGCCGTATCTTTAGCTATTTGAAACTTCATCTGTATTTTCTCATTGCCAATTGGCAGAATGTCTAAATCACATGATGAGCTAACAACATCTAGCATCTGTTTTAAGATTGCCGTCGCGTCTTGAACTATCGTACCCTTTACAGTCCAAAAAATACGCGCCCAGTTAAAGAGACCAATGGTACAGATGGATGGCTTTCCTTCATCTGGATGAAGATAGCAACCGGAATAAGAATATAGAGCCGTTTGTTTGATGCTTTCACAATTTGCCTTTACAAAAGGTCTTAAAATGGGTACAAGCTTGACTTGTAGGCATTTGCGTACAGCATCTATCCATTGCTGCACCATCGTGTAAAACTTCCGGTGATGATCGTGGTACAAATTACAAAATTTCTCAGCGTAATCCATAGCATCTGAATTGTCCTCGTCTTGACATGGATAACGTTTCTAAAAAAGGGAATATATATACATGTATAGCACTGATGCAGCTTCATATTGAATTTAGTTGATAATTACTATTTCTTTTTTTTTCTTTTTTCGTTTCACAAGATTGCGTGATGATAAGCTAGTTCTCTAAAATCAGAAAATGAAAGGTAAAAAGTATGTTATGGTAAACACATGTTCTGTTATTTTTCTCGAATGTTTTGTGATAATCAAATTAGAACTATCTGATTTAATTTTTATCTATTTATTTTGAGCTTGAATGTCAACAAACGATATTTTAATGGTCCTCATTACTGGATTTATATAAGTTATACTTATGATACACATGAATAGATTAAGTCATTATTTGCCAGGCAAATTTCGCATTTTTTTTATAATATACATCCCTGATTAAAAAAAATTATCTCCTCTCAGCAATATCTTGTATATTGTTATATCTATATGAAGACAATTTGTTAACAACTGCTCTGAAACATTTTTGTTATGATTGTATTCATGAATCAGTGATTGGAAAAATGTTTTACACTTTAGCTATGTTTTATATCAATGCTTAAATGCTATATGTAGTTTAATGCCAATTAAAATATATCATTCGTTTGTATTGTATAAATCTTACATTGACAGTCTAAATAATTGAATATCATAATACTGACTTGTAATACTAGTTTTATCAACAGGGGTTAAATCAATCTTGCCAAATCTTATATTTTTGCTGCTTGATTAATAGCATTATAAAAAGGTTAGTCATCTATCGAAATGAATTTGTGCAAATCTATATTAAACCGTTTGTCTCTGTTGTAATGAAATAAACATAATTTAATGCATGTTTGCCCATTCTTAAAAAAGAACTACAAATATTCTCTGTATATATAAGACAGTCCTTGTACCAACTACAAATATACTCTATATCTCACCTTAAAGCAGCCGTTGTACTTACTACAAATATACTCTATATATCTCACCTCAAGGCAGTCCTTGTACCAGCTACAATCCGAACCGGATGGACTAAAGCACCAATCCGGGATAGGTGACGTCACGACAGTCGGTTGTGTAGTCACATTTCTCGGAGCATCTGGTGTACATGCGCAGTCGTCATAAACATCCCCTAGGGAGATAAAAAGCAATACTTCATGGTACTAGCTTAGGATGGTAAAATCTAATTGATTTTAGGCGAAGACATACATCAGTATATTATGGCATCAATAATTAATGAGGGCAAGTCAAAAACAAACTTAATTCTTATTACGTGTAAGTCATTTGGTGATGTGACAAGATTTATATTTATCGTATTCAAACAATCGTTGTCGTACCTCGATAAGATCGGATACTCACGGCACGAGCCCAAATTTTTGTTATGTATTCGTACGATCCTTATTAAGTTCATATTGATTCTTCAATAAAGATGAGAACATTGGTAGTGTAGACCGCATGATTTTGGTTTACATAGATCTAGCGATTTAGTGGTCAGCTCTATTTGCCAGCCAATGAAATTAATGTATTTTGTATTTTGCGAGAGTTATTTTTTTTATAAAAAAGAAAGAAGTAATATTCTATGTGAAATCGGTTTATTCTAATCATGGAAAGTTTTTTAGCGCACAGAAAGTACTATCTTACATATTTATGGTTAATTAGCGAAATCATAATTGGAGGGACAAGAATGTGTAGTGATAATGAAAATACCTAACCTTATCAAAAATTAATCATCTTCCTTATTTAAACTTCTTAACCATGTTGTTTACTATGCCCTCAAATGCCATTATTTTTCATCAGTAAATAATCATTTTATTTACTAATAACAAAGTTAAAATTGGTTATTCATAGTCTATGCATTCTACAGAAGATTGTGAGCTCTTGTTTTTTCTTTATATTCAAATTTCAAAGGGTATTTTAAGGGAAGATAAAAAAAATTAGTTGGTTAAAAACATTTGTCTCCATCCTATAGCATGTGCCGTTCCCCTGTGTATGATACACATAGTAAAGAATGTATAGAACAAAACAAATTTTATTGTTAAAAATTGTTGTGTATTAGTTAGAGGAAATCGATCGCTTATCTTGTTGTTGAATTTAAATTAAAAACAAAAGATTACTTGATTTTAAAATCGTTAATTGACATGGTATACAATGGGCAATACGCCAAAACTTGTAGCATAAGAAACATTTATTCAATAGATTGTTGCATTCTCAACATTCCATTGCAATAAAGATATGTCTGAATCATAGGGTAAATTAAAACTGGGGGGGGGGGCGGCTAATAAAAATTGAACAATTATATAATGTTATTATTATGACCCAATGCAAATTGAAGTAACGGTTTAAAGATTGGTGACATATGATCAAATGATAAATACATGTAAGTTTTATTTCTACTAGGTTGCTCTTATAACAAAAAAGTAGAAAAACAATCCCTGAAGAACGATCAAAACGGCAAAATTGAAAATGTTTCAGGCTTGGTTAAAATGAGCCAAAGTAGTAACTGCAAGTCACCCCCAACGCCCCCAGGCACCGGCTGAAGAAGAATTCAACGTTTTAATATGAACACGGTGAATTTTTGAATTTCGAAACAACTGGAGATGTGTTCACACGGCGGTGATCATGGAACCATCAATTTGATACGTTGTGCTATTCTGTTAAAACCGACATATGGTTCTCAAGTAAAAAAAGTGCATGTGGTCCAAAAGAATAAAGAAATGTGTGTGTCCTCAACGAGAAAGCAATGGGCGTAATTACACACTATACTGCCAAAGGCAGTTAACGTTTTGCTTTTCTCGAGGAAAAAAAACAACAAAATAAACAGGCTGCCATTTGAAAATATGCCCATTTTTCCTAACGAGTCACGTGAATTATAAGCTTAAAGAACTTAAGAAACCCGATATACACAGGGATAACTAATAAATAATAAACAAAAATGTGCCGAATTTTAGAAAATAATAATGCGTGCACTTTAGGAATAATAGATCTTGAGAAGGTAGAACAACAAGACCATCCTCCCTGGTGTAAAAGAAATTCAATTAAACTTAAAAAATCCTAGCTTCTTAAAGGTTAATTGAGTAATTAATTTCTAAGATTTAAGGTTGACTATATTTCTTTTACAAAAAAAATTGGGAACACTGAAGACAACAAATGAGTCACGACTTTTTCCCATTAATGCCATTTAATAGTACAAAGTGCATACCCTTAATATATTCATTAAATTTGGCCCGTTTAATATTTAATATTTACTGAAACGGCGTTTATTCATAATGCAGGTCTTCACACCAATTCAATTTATTCAATTCAATATTTTATTTGGCATAAACATATACAATGTTCATCGCCAACACACAACTGTATGACGGATATAATGTACAATTGTGAAAAGTATGTTATTGTAAAGTTACAGTTGTATATGATACCTGCATTTAATAATTGATAAGGCAATAAATGACATTAGTCATTATGATTCTTTTAAATTATTTTACAGTATCAACACAATGCAGGAAGTAGCTAGTAAACAAGCTATATCAATAAATACAAACTCATTTTTAAAAAAAATGATGAAAACAATGCAATATGGTCATTTCATATTACTTTTAACATTAGGTAAATATATAAATCTTGAGGTTTTGTTTAAAATGTTATTCTGAGTACAAGATTTGTTCAAATTAGGCCAATGACAATAATATGTCGGCAAACATGCGTTTCTTATTTCTCTATAAAAAGGGCAAACTAGTAAAAATTGATATTCGTTTTCAACGCTACTCATATTACATTTTGTACATATTCTAAATCTTCTGTCAATATTTCTATGCCTTCCCTCTTTTATAAGTAGATTATGAGCGGACCATCTTAGCCTAGATAATGCAATTCTGTGATTAACATTAGAGATACTTGATAAATATTTCTCTGTACAAAAATCTGTCTTTATCAAACTATATGTTTCTAGTTTTGGTGAGTTACGAAGTTCAGAATAAAACTGTTGAATATACTGATCATAAATTGATCTAATATGTAAATTTGTTACAGATGAATTATTCCATAGGTAGGAAAAATTTGTTTCATCTAGAATGTTCTTAACATTTTGAGACCATTTATTTACTGAATTACCATTAAAACCATGCTTCATAATTAATTTATACATGAGAGAATCTGTGGTTGACATTATCTCAAACCAATATTTAATCATTCTTATCTTACGCATAAAATATAGTGTTCAAGTCTTCCGAATTCACCATATAATGTAAATTTGATGTTTGTGTTCGAACTTGAAAAGTTTGCTTTAAAAATTTCATATGTACCTTTTCAATATCTGGTGCCTAAAGAAAACCCCACACTTCGCAACCATAATTCAAAATAGAGCAAACCATCGAATCAAAGAGTTAAATCTTTTCAGAAATATTAAACGACACAACATCGAATAATGAATTAATTTTAAGTGAATACAATGCTCTCTGTGCTTGTTGTGATAATGATTTCTGAGCTTGATAAAAACATCCGTTAGAAGATAGCGTTACACCTAATTGTGACCTAAATATGTAAAAGTACGTACAGTATTGAGCTTACAAGTGTTATAAAATACTTCAAAATGTTCTGGATAATTTCCCTTTTTAAAAACCATAGCAACTGTTTTCAATGTTAACTGTTATACCCCAATTGTTACAATACACAAGTAAATTATCCAATATTCGTTGAAGCCCTTCAGAAGCATATGACATAAAAACAGTGTTGTCCGCAAAAAGTAATAGGAAAACTTTCAGTTCTTCTAAACAAAACGAATCTATTGTGTCGTCAAGAATACATAGATACATATCACTTATGAAAAACAGAAATAATAACGGTGATAAAGGCTCGCATTGTTTAACACCTTTAACACTATCAAAACTTTCAGAACAAATACCATTAACTCGTACACAACTCTTTACATTTTCATACATTTTTTACAACATTTTAACAAATTTTGTCCAAGCACCTGATTCTAATAACTTTAACCATAAACCATTTCTATATACAACATCGAAAGCTTTTTTAAAGTCAACAAAAGCACACCGGACTCGTGTTTGTTCATAATAATGGACAAGAGTTTGTTCATTATACTGGACACGTGTTTGTTCATTAAACTGGACACGTGTTTGTTCATAATACTGGACACGTGTTTGTTCATAACACTGGATACGTGTTTGTTCATAATACATGATCCGTGTTTGCTTATATTACGGAACGTTTACTTACTTACTGCAGGTTTAAACAATCTTTTAACTTTGAAACATATTTTATATAGTCTATAAGTCTTGCCCATCTCAATGTGTGTGGCTGGACTACTGACAATAATGAATTGCGGATTAATTTAGTGAATGGTTTGAATAGCGATATAATTTCATTATGTGAAACGCATCTAGGTGGAAATGATGTATTACTCGTGCCAGGTTACACGTGGATTGGGCACAATAGACAAGATATACATGTCAATGCACCGAAGCCGCCTGGAGGTGTGGGCCTTTTGGTTAAATCATGGCTTTATGAGGAATATGAAATTTCTGTTATAGAAAAATCGCTTGACGGAATACTCGGTGTAACATTTGTAAACAAAAATACAGACTACGATTTTATAGTATTTTCGTATTATTTGCCACCAGAAAACTCTACTCGTGGTCGTGATGCCCAAAGTTTTTACGCTCACTTATTATCTCAAATATATATTAATAGTGAAAGTGACGGTATATTCCTAGCAGCAGATTTCAACGCACGAATCGGATCATTATCGGATATTATCGGAAATTTTGACAGTATCCCACCTAGGCACGTCTTGGACAAATCAGTCAATCAACATGGACGCGATTTGATTGAATTTTTGAACGATGCGAAATTTTGTGTCTTAAACGGTCGATGTTCGGATCAGTACCATGCTAACAATTGGACCTCGATTTCTTGTAAGGGTAGAGCGGTAGTTGACTATATATGTGTTCCACACGACCAATTCACGCAGTGTATCTCATTTATGGTTTTATCAATGCAAACAGTTGTAGATAATTGCGGATTACACGAGCTATTGGGTGAAAGATCAAGATTACCTGATCACTCGGCAATTATAACGGAATTTAACACGGTACATTCGCACAATATGGGTCAACAAACGTCTGCGGGTCAGGAGATCAGACGACAACGGTACAAGGTGAGAACTGTTCCAGACGACTTTATGGATAGTGATATCGCGAGACTAGCAATTATAGACTGTATTTCAAATATTGAAAGTTGCCGAGAAACGCAGTGTGATATGGACGCAATTTATAGTAACCTTTGTGAAGCCATAACCGGCGAAATGAACAGAAAATTGCCAAAATATGAATCTCGGTCAACTAATAAACGTCACAAAACTAGAAAGCCGTACTGGAATGACACTTTATCAGAACAGTGGCAACGGTTACGTCAGCGGGAACGTGAATTTCTAAAATGTTGTAATAACCATCGAGTCAAAACAGCGTTGAGGCGTGAATACATACATGCAAGGGACAGTTTCGATAAATCATTGCGTCAAGCAGAACGCGCGTACAGGAAAGAAAAATCGATTGAAATAGAAACTATATCGACAAATAATCCCAACGAATTCTGGGATAAGATAAACAAGCTGGGTCCACGTAGTGATAAATCTATCCCGTGTGAAATTATAGACGAAAATGGTAACGTTGTGCGAAATGAAAACGAAGTTCTTGAAAAATGGAAGCGTGACTTTGAGAGTTTATACAACGGAACAGATAATAGCGAATTCGATAGTGAGCATTATAGACGGGCAAAGGTGCATAAATTACTATTAGAAAACAATATCAATTACCCTTTGTAAACGTAACGCTTAACGGCAATATCACGTTAACGGAGATAAGTGACCTAGTAATGAAAGCTAAATCACGTTCTGCCTGCGGCTATGACGACATTCCATACTTTGTGCTTAAATGCCCCGTTATTATAGCAACATTGAGAGAACTGTTTCAATTAATGTTTGACACTGGCATTATACCCTCAATTTGGAGAAAGTCGATCATTTGCCCTATTCTGAAGGACCCCTTGTCAGATCCACGTGTCCCCTTACACTACCGAGGAGTAAGTCTACTTTCATGCGTGAGCAAGCTCTACACTGGATTTATTAATAAGCGTTTGACTAGGTATTTAGACGAGTACGAAATCCTTGAAGACGAGCAAAACGGGTTTAGGCGTAATCGATCATGCGAAGACCACGTGTTCTCACTTAACGGCATCATACGTAACAATACAACGGTATTTACAGCGTTTATTGATCTACGTAAATGCTTTGATTTCATCGATATCGACATGTTGTTATACAAATTGTTGCTAAACGGCATTGACGGTAAAATATATACATCAATAAAGAGCATTTACAAACATTCCACTGCTAGTGTACGCTTAAACAACATGCTAACGGACTGGTTCACGTGTCTTACCGGCGTAAAACAGGGTGATACGGCGTCGCCGACGCTATTCTCAATATTTGCCAATGACCTTGTAAAAGAAGTGAATGACCTTGACCTTGGTTTTGAACTTAATGGTAAAAAGGTTTCAATGCTGTTGTATGCAGATGATATCGTTTGTATAGCTAAGACAGAGGAAGATCTACAACGTATTTTAGACACGTTACGTGATTGGTGTAGACGTTGGCGCGTACTCATTAACACTGAAAAATCTAAGTGTGTTCACTTCCGCCGAGGCCGCGCTGCATGCACAGACTTTTCATTCAGGATTGGTGAAAACGTGTTAGAGCTTGTAGATAGTTACAAATATCTTGGTGTAACTTTCCATTGCAAGGGTGACTTCTCATCAAATGCCGACATTCTCGCAAAAAGCGCTGGAAGGGCCCTTGGCAAAATTATTGCAAAGGTTCGAGACCTAAAGCACTTTGGTTTTAATACATTTGAAAAACTATTTGATTCATGCGTTGTGCCAATTATGGATTACTGTTCGAGCGTGTGGGGTTACAGAAAATACCAAGTTATGGACAATGTGCAGCATCGTGCGATCAGGTACTATCTTGGTGTCCACAGATTTGCACCTATACTTGCAATTACTGGTGACATTGGATGGGTTCCCACCAACTACAGGCGATGGTTAAACATGTTACGAATGTGGAATAGGCTCGTATCGCTCGATGACAATAGAATAACAAAACAAGTCTTCAATGTGGACTATAGCCATTGTCAAAATAACTGGTGTAGCGAAGTGAAAGATATTATGTCGAAAATTGGAATGAATGATAACTTTATAAACCGCCAACCAATTAATTTAGCAACAGCTAAACATTCTATTATTGAACACCACAAAACTGACTGGGCTACAAAAGTAACCCAAGTTGCAAAACTGCGAACTTACATACAATTTAAAAGTGATTTTGGTAAAGAATCTTATTTGGATCTTAACTTACCACGAAACGAGCGCTCTCTTCTCGCACAATTGCGGTGCGGTATCCTACCACTCCGTGTAGAAGCCGGGCGGTATGTTGGTGAAACACCAGAACAGAGACTTTGCAAATTGTGTAATACTGGTTCCGTTGAAGATGAACTGCATTTTGTAATGAATTGTTCTTTATATCAAGACACTCGACATAGTTATCTTAGTGAAATCCTTTTAAGTGACCAATATGTAGATATGAGAGACTGTGATAAATTTGTAAACATTGTAAAACATCACCCAAGAAGATTAGCAAAGTACTTGGTAGCCGCATATTTGAAACGTAGAAGCAATTTGTTCCAAAGATAAAGTAAACATTTATTTAAATAAATGTTTGATCCGCTCATATTTGACACTATTCGTACTATGATGAGATATGAAACTATTTTATCGCTAAAGCATACTTTAATAAATGTTCAATTTATGTGTATCTCGTATCACAGATGTAGTTTACAATTTGCATGTTTTCATTAGCCGTTTTCGTCAACCAGTACTTGATACAGTTGATATTGTTAAAGTATATCTGTTACTCAGAATCTTATTATTACTTTTTCATAGATATAAGCACGTTGTAATATTGTGAAGTATAATTATGTGTAACACCACTTTTATATTACACACTTACATGCTGGTCATGACTACTAGTCTACTAGAATGAAGTTACGTTTATCACATATTTAACATATTTGAATATTGTTTACTTTCCTAGTGTAGAACTTGAATTTTCGTTTCGTTTAAGTACTTCACTTATAAAACAAGTAATACAATACACACTTGCTCGATTCCATGTCCCGGCCTTGCTAGATTTGTTTTTCGTATAAGGCTGGTTATTGCATGAGATCGTATATCGGCGATGTATGTTTCTTGATTGAATCACATTTTGCTAGACAGTAATACCAGAATGACGTTAACGGGTTCTTAAATGATGTACATTTTTATATTATTGTATACTGTACTGATCTCAAGTAATACTAAGTAATTCTAAGTATCTAGATATGTACGTCAAAAGTATGCTTTCACTGTAAACATAATGTTACATTAATAATTGGTATTAAATCCTATAATTATTATACATAAATGAATAAAATCTCTAACTTGTACTGTTGTATACAGTATATTTACTATACTCATGACCATTGATTCGCTTATTGTTCTCATGTTTATTGTTTTGACAAGTATTATGTGACTTATAGGCCCGATGGGCCGGGTGCATGCCTTTATGTAACTGTATATTGTCATCATTATTTATGTTTGCACATGTCACTTTAATAAAATATTTACTTACTTACTTACTTATTTTAATTCAATAAATGAGAGAAAATTTCGGCTTGCCTTAAGTAGATTTAGATTATCTTCGCATAATTTAGAAATAGAAAGAGGTAGATATCTTAATATAGAACGAAATAATAGAATATGTAAATTTTGCAACCAAGATAATATGATTGAAGATGAGTATCATTTTCTTCTTGTCTGCCCAATATATCGAGAAATAAGAAAAAAATACTTAAAACCATATTTTTGTAGATGGCCAACTCTTAATAATTTCGATGGACTGATGTCTATAGATAATGCAAGACAACTGTTAAACTTATCAAAATATTTTTTCAAATAAATAAAGGAATAGTTTAGAAATTTGATATAGTTATCATATTTGTATCGTGATTTAAATTTACCTACATAAAGATGTCAAAATAGTCTATTTATTGTGTAAGCTTCTCTATGCAGAAACTATTAGACTGCTAATGATTTCTCGTGTAATTTGTCACCTTATGTCAATTGAATATTATGGCTAAAAGCATTGTAATGCTTAATTGCTACGTAAATGTTGTTGTTGTTGTTGAAATATTACGGATCCGTGTTTATTCATAATACGCCCAAGTTTATTCGTAATACCGGACTCGTGTTTCATTCCTATTATTTGACCCGACCGTGTTTAATTATGATAATGGATTTTGAAAAACGGTGAATAAGTCGTTAAGACTTGAATTTAAGAAGCATTATAACAATGACAATGAAAGTCGAAAATATCAAACCGCTCTTACGTTGTTTTTACATGTCACAACTTACTTTATTTCAAAATATCTCACTGGTGGTACAGGGGTCATAGGTTTGATCCCACGGCCAATACTCATAAAAGTCTCAAATGAGATCATAAAAAATCAAGGTCCCGTATGACCTTTGGAACGAGACCACTTCCTTACCCATGCACTACCTAAAAAGAGAATAAAACAAATAACAGAATTCGCGTTGTTTTGTTTTTGTTTTTTTTTCTCCATCAAAAATAGATTACCTTGTTCTTGATGATGTACCTCAAGCATGCACTGATACCAACAGGTCAAGGATGTATTCCGGCATGTGTGAAATCCTTCCGAGAAAGTATCTATATACGTGTCAGTGAGACATGTTGCCCATTGGTGCTTGGTATAGGAAAGTGAAAATAAGACACATTCAGTTGCGCCTATTTTGTATGATCCAGATTCTGTAGATTTGTAGCAAATACATCTAGCTGATCCAAATAATATTGAAAACAATATAAAATAAAGAAAATATCCCATGCTTGATTATAAATGTTTTCCTTCTTTCTCTTTATAGTGTACGTAACACTCCTGTTTAGCTGGCTACATGTTGGCGTCCGGTTAAATAGTGGGGGAATAAAACAAGGAAGCTTTTTATTTCATAGATTTCGCAGAATTTTGTCATATTTCGTTTCAAGGTGAAACATAATACGTTTGAACTCTTATCTGTCAAATTCTTCATTCGAGTCACCAAGTACTTTATTAAATATGTTTAAATCATTTTACTCGTACAGGTTTCTATGAAAGATTTTTATGGAAAAAATAATATTGCTTTTCTTCATATTGAATGGTAAATCTATGCAATATAATTATTTCAATAAGTTGTATATTTAAGCGCAAATGTTTAGTGTTTCGCGATATGCTATTTGTTAACAAGCAAACCTACCTGTGTCTAATTTTGTTTCCGAATTGAATATATATTTTTCAAAATCGTTTAAGACTCACAATGCATAACCATGCAGAAATTACAGCATTCGGGAGCCGGTACCATAACCAGTTTTTTTTTCTCACATAACATTACTTCAGGATGGGGTGGGTGTGTTGTCCGTCTCCCCTATTAATCCCCTATTAATCAACCCAATCAAAGACATACCACCAGAATTGTATGTTTGCAAATCTGACGGATGAATTTAATCCATTATGTATGAAACGGTGGGTCCATAGCTGCGGCGGCGAATCATTCATCGCAGATGCAGCGGATAGATATGGCTTTTACATGTGGCAGTATCAGTGTTTGGACACCCCACCCCTATCTGCCCCTGGACCCCTACTATAACCCCGAAAAAAATCAACACTCTAGCTAAGGCTTATAATAAGGTACAAAATACAAAACCGCCGATAAAATTATGAACAAAATAATTCCACTATAAAAATTATAGTTATAGAAAGTTGAAAAGCCTACTTCACTGTATACATGTATGTTCATTTGCCAAACAATGTGGAACACGGGAAATCGTCGTTCCGGCGACTATGGCGCATTCCGAAGACTTTAAGCGTCATACAGTTAGTGTTTTATTACAGAAACTTAGAAACAATATCTCATGAGATTTCTTCTTCAAATTTTGACATAATTAATCATAAGTTTAGTGTATAATACAATCTGGTCATAGAGTTATTTCAGCCAAATAGTCTATGTAAGTTTGATCGTTCCTATTGCAAAATAACCGGCGTGATATGCCCTGTAGTGATCACCAAAGCCGGCGCTTAAAAATTTATCAGCTAAGAGAAGACGTCAATACAAAACAAATTTACAAATGAAATGTTTATTTGTCTTTTTCAGGGAATGAAACACACAATAATTATTAAGTATAAAAAATCACCATACTAAAGTCACATTATTCATCACATAGAACAAATTCTATTGAGCCGTATACGTGCTCACAAAAAACACAAATTAACAAGGTATCAACAATATGTCAGAAAACTTAATTATATTCACGAAGTCTATTTTTTTTTTCTTTTTTTTTCTTTTTTTTTTTTGGAAAATACGTCCTAAGATTAAAACCCCTTTTCATTTAAATTCACGCGCTAATCACAATTACAGATGGATCTTACTAGCCAATTGATTCATACTAAGTGAAACTTTAGAACTATTTCATATTTTTTTCTTTAGCAAACAATATAGTGTTTCTTATTTGAAAACTTGACATATACATTTATAACATTACCACAAGCACTTGTCCAGTTGAGAAAACATGTGTGGTATATACAGGCGAATTCACTCCAGTCCTGTGTTCACAAGCGTTTAAAGTTCACGATAAAAATTTATATTGGTATAATGTCAAATATGCTTTAACATATTAAATTCTTAAAATTTAAAGTGGACATGAATTACATAAGAAGATAAAAATCTAAAAATGTTTGTCAGGTAGCGAAACACTATTGGGGAAACCAATTAAAATGCCAGACTTTCGTTAAAATAAAACACCATAAATCATAGGAAATTTTATGTTTAAATATATAATGATAAAAAAGTTGAAAGTTTCAGTTCCGATGTGACATATTGATTTATATTGGCAACAAAAATATATATTGAAATTGCAGAGCATAATTTATTGATATGTTTTTAAATGGTTTTTCAATTAACAGCGGGCTTTTATGTTTCTAATTTATATCATTTCAGACAAGCAAAACTATATTATAGCAATTCCAGAGTTGATTAATTAAAAAAAGCATTTTTTTCTCCAATGTGTACGTACTGACTAGAAAGCTTCACGAAAGGACTAGCTGTTGATAGGAGCAATAAATATGGCGCTCGGTTCCTTAACAGTTTTACTGACTGTTACAGGACGTTTTTGTTGCATTGTTACTGTCAAAGCAGAGACGGCATTCACTAATCTTATAAGGTTCAATTTAGATGGATTAAGCTGCACGCATTCTGTTTTCAGTGTCAACAACGTTTTCAGTGAGATTGTTTGTGCATTCATATGTTCAAAAACTTCTCTATGTGCCGCAATATCATACAATACAATCACTTACAATTGTGTTGGGTGCTACATGTTTGACACGGCGGAAAATGTGGAGTCGCAGGAAAGGGTCCTGTTTTATGGAGTTCTTGGAGGTATTTAATCGTTTCAAAAACATCACAATAATGGCTTAGGCTTTGATACCTATCTCTTTCCTTCTTTTAACGAAACCTTCACATTTTTTTGCTTTACAATTGACTTTGAGTCGTTAGTTATTAATTTATGAAATCAGTTTTCTTTGAAATTTTTGTTTACATCTTACACTAGCAGTAATTTTGCTAAAGATTAATTCAGTAAGACCGTACTAACATTAGACTAAGTATGTTTTGAAATTTACGTTAAGACCAATCAGAAATCACACCATATTTGAAATGTTGCTTTGACTTAGTATCAACTAATAGATTTTATGGAATTGTGAATTACGAATGTTATCAATTACAGTCAGCGTGATCAAGTATAGGATGTGGTCAAGTTGCTGTTGAGATGATTTGCTTTTTATATTGTAACACTTTCTTATAATGTCTCGGTCATTTGACCTTTCTGATGGGGAAATTTTTTACTAAAAAAATTACTGAAAAATTTCCCGACTACAGATAGCTAAACGATATTGGTCATGAACATTATCAAGTATAAGCAGAAACGCTAGGAATCGCCGTTCAGTCGGGAAAAATTGTGAAGTACACTACTTCTCGAACAATAGAACTATGTTTCTTCTTTTAAGAGAAATATTCCGGATATTGTAATCCCGCAAAAGCCTACACACTGGTCTCGAGTTTCTTTTAACTGTTATCAGTTTTGACCAGAGTCAGTATCAGCTGATAAACCATATGCGGTGGTAAACGTGTGTAACCGCCAAGTGCCCCGACGGTAGCCTCAATCCTTCTCCTCATATACTACCAGTAGGCGTCTAATATGCGATTTTGAGGTAAATATTTTGCAATTCTGCTGCAGATCTTGTTCCAGTTGTTGTAGGTTGACTACAGGTGGTTTGTACCATTGCCCAAATTGAATTTAAAATTTCAGTTGTGGTTTTGTCAAAATTGAGGCAAAATGCCGGATGTGAGGAAAAGGGTTGAGGCTACCATCCGGGCACTTGGCGGTACACACGTTATTATCTACATAATGACAAATGACATTTTAGGTTACGTAATCTTCAACATTTTCCAAAAATGTCCATCAATAAATGATTTGTTAACGCTCCAACACCATACTTATAAACACTTACATTTTTGGTAAAAACAACACATTTAACACATTTGCTTATGCTTCAATAATTTGGTCAAGAATAAACTAAACTCACAAATTACCTGATTTATGATTACTAAATTTGTATTGCTACTTATCAAATTACTATTTCTTAGCTCAATCAAGTCGCCATCTTAAATCACAACCAAATTTAAATTTTGCAGGGTGTTCTTAACTTTTTTCCAGGGAAAAGTTGAAGATTGTTAGAATAAATAATAAAACATTGTCGTTTTTTTTTCAATATAATTATGTTTTCTCGATTGAAACATAAATAAGACAGAATTAATTTGTTTCATTTTTATCTCGTTACAGCTACCAATGTCGTTAATGTGGCTTACAACAAGAAAGCTGTTCAATCTAGTGTTTATCAACAACATTATGCAGGAAAGGGAGTTGATGGAAACGCAGACCTATGGAATGCCATGGCTGTCTTATATTGTTCTTTTTCAATTCATTTAACAATTTGGATAATATATAAGTTCACTTCGACTATATTTGACTTGAAAACACCTTATTTAACCGGAATCTATTATATTAATCCACAGTTACAATATATGAAACCATACCGACATCAGTGTATGAAACCGAGGTAGCAATATATAAGTTGATTTCTCAATATATGATTTCAATTCTTCAATATATTGTACCAAAGTAGCCCTGTATGGAACCAAATATCCTTATATGAAGCCGAATTATCAATATATTAATTCATTTTTACAATATATGAAACCATTTTATCAATGTATGGAGCCGAAGTATCAATATATAAGTTGATTATCACATCATATGATACCAATTATTCAATATATGGTACCAAAGTAGCAATGTATGGAACCAGATGTCCTTATATAAAACCGAATGATCAATATATTAAATCGATTTTACAATATATGAAACCATTTTATTTATGTATTAAACTAAGTTCCCGTTATTGTAATTGTTTATTTAAATTTATTGAAATTATTTCAATTTAAAAATATATTAATATGTTATTCATATTACACAATTTAAAATAGATTCATCAGAATATGATTACTGTCAATATCTGTAACTGAAAATATAGTCAGGAACATAACTAGTGCAAGCTTTTTTTATTTATTTTTTTTTTTTTTTGGTTAAATTTCTGAAATACGTTTGAAGTTATTGTGAATACAATTATGTTACTAGTATATGAAATATTTTTTATAAAATGCAATTATTTTAAATCATGCAGTTATTTTTGCATTTTTTTTGTTACCATGGTAACCAAAATACACAATTTTTGCAATCAGTTCATTAAAGAATATTTGTTTGCATTGGATTCATATTTTTATGCTATCATGTTATAGATGTGCGTTTTAAAGTGGACTAACTTAAGTTATGATATTCACCTTTATCATAGAAAAGTTACTGAAATTCTGAGAATTTTATTCTTATGTTTAAAGTTATTATCAATAACTATTTAAAAGAAAAATGAAAAATTCTTTAATATTGTTGTCTTTTTATATAATATATGCATTAATTTGGTGATTAATTAATCATGTTAAGTGCAAAAATATTGCATTTTACGAATTTTATTTTTGCTGCCATGGCAACCGATTTTTGAACTTTGAAAGCAAACGATATTTTTCATATCAAGATATTACATATATTACACTAAGATGAATGATCACTTTATATTTTATTTATTTTATTGTGTATAACTATGGAATTATTTCTAGTTTATATATACCAATAAAAGTTAAAAATGTATTTTTTGTTGTTATGGTGATGTCATACAAATTAGAAATATTTCATAAAATATCAAGTATTTTTTAAAAATAATTGTTTCCAGCTATTCAGCAGATGTTGTTCTACCACAAACTAGTCATAACTCATCTTCGCCCAAATATCACATTTGGGCCAAAAATCGCTGAGCTTGTCACATATATATGTTGATTTTTACATTATATGACACCAATTCCTGATCAATATATAGAGGATATTTGTTTAGTTCAGTGTAAGATCGGAATATATTTCACCGAGTGAGCACCAAAAGGTATATTTCACGAGTGGCACAGCCACGAATGAAATATGAACTTTTGGTGTTCACAAGGTGAAATATATTTCAATCTTACACTAAACTAAACAAATTTTCTTTTTATTACATGCAAAGAAACGTTTTAAAAGGACATTAAAGCTAATACTGAATGAAAAGCGCGCCAAATTAGAATACAACGTGACGTCATTTACGACGTCACGTCAATAAGTTGGTACCCAGTACTGTGCACGCTGGTATTTCACTGAAACAAGGTAAGGGGTTTAAATTCAAAACAGTGAAATTATCAAAGTGGTAATTTCACTGTTTCAAACAGTGAAATTACCAGTTTTATATCACTGATATATTTCTATAAACCGAAAAGCATGTAATAAATTGTCATAGGTTGCTAGTATATGAATCCACTTTCCCAATATATGGAACCAAATGAGCAATGCGTTGAACCATAATGTCATTATATTGACGGGACTTTTTAAAGCTGTTTTCTATCCTTGCACCGGTATTACAGTTTCGCGCCAATATTCCTTGTAGAACTGTCAAAAGACCAGCGTGCTTCACTGATGGTATACTGCACATTTTCTAAATAAGGAAATATTTTCATTTAACGTCACATTCCCGTAAGACAAGTCGCGTGCTTTAAATGACGTCATTGACGCGCGCCTTTTATGAATGAATTGCGTTCTTAGGATGACGTCACTTAACCGTCATGAAGAAAAAAGTGCGTAATGAGATTATCAGTTTTCGTAATTTTTGTTCTGAAAATAATTGATATACAATATGCAAGAAAAAGAATCAAACACCGGTTGTCGGTACAGACGGGAATATCTAGCTCTCGGGTAACTGTTTAGCGGAAACTCGGCAGAGCCTCGTTACTACCGTTAACAGTCACCCTCGAGCTAGATATTCCGGTCTGTACCGGCAGCCGGTGTAAGAATCTTATAATCTACTCACAAAAGTCAAATTATAATTGATTTCATGAAAAAGTATGCATTGTAATAAGAGAACCCACTGACCTCGGCCTTTGACTTGTTGACTTGAAAATAGGCTATTTTGGTTCCATATAATGAAAATTGCTATCATAGAATGTAACATCAACTTATATACTGCTACTTTGGTTCCATACATTAATAAAATGGTTTCATATATTGTAAAAATGACATAAGATATTGAAAATTTGGTTTCATATAAGGGCATCTGGTTCCATATATGGCTACTTTGGTACCATATATTGAAGAACATGTATCATATAAAGTGATAATCAAGTCATATATTGCTACTTTTGTTCCATACATTGATAAAATGGTTTCATATATTGTAAAATTGACATAATATATTGAAAATTCGCGGTTTCATATCAGGACGTCTGGTTCCATACATGGCTACTTTGGTACCATATATTGAAGAACTGGTATCATAATGTGATAACCAACTTACATGTATATATTTCTACTTTAGTTTCAAAAATTGATTAATCGGTTTCATCAGTTAACATAGATTATAAAATAAATCAAAACATAAAAATGAGTATAATGATGATTAACAAAACAGTCAATATATTACAAAAACTAACACAAATATAAAATGAAAATCTTTCAGCGCTCTTTGCTCATCACCGACTGACGATACTACCAGAGACACGGGGAGGAACTGTTGCACGAGGGATGGAGTTCTTATTACTGTCACGGAGTTCGTCGGAAAACTTTCGTGTATACTACAAAACCACTCGTCAAAAATGGTAAATTTTCATCTATAAAAAGTGATTTTTAGGTGCTATATTAAACTTTAATTATTAAGATTGTCTTTATAAGGCCATTTTTATCGCCTCTGCTTAAAATCTTGTAGTTTTGAGTAAATTTTCCAAATGATTTGCCACTTCGTATTGACCTGTTTATTTCTGGTCTACTGGAACTCCATCCTTCGTGTAACAGTTAGAGGGCGAAACAGATTATTATAGGGTTTAGATTTCAAATTAAATCAATCGGGACATTCTTGACAGCTGAATTTATACATCCGACTATCTAAATCAATTAATAATTAGTTGACCTTTCTATATCGTTTTAACATTTTAACTGTATAAATTATTTCTTGACTAAATGTAAGTAAATATTTAATTAAAGTGGTCGACGACTTACAGTTTAAGTCCTTACAAAACTTGTACATGTGATATATATTAATTTTAACAAAATGAGGATATGAAACAAATTGAAACAAGTCAAACAAACGCCAAAATTACCAATTTAATGAGGCAAATGATAATGTTTGCAGTGTTTAATAAACAAATTTTGATATGACACATTTATGTTGATTGTTTTTGTGTTTAAACTTTAATGTCAACCCGAAATTGTTCTCGAAACATGTTAAATGGCTAAATTTTAGATTAAGAGGGGCTTCGACGCCTGATTGCATACTATAAGACTCTGCATGTCTTGTACCTGCAAGGGGATCTAATGTGAGCCACACAAAAGAAAACAGCCACATAAAAGCATTACGGAATGAATGACATCAAAGAGAAAGAACAGTTACCTATTGTTCCTCTAGCCACATTATTACTGTCCCATGAGAGCGGAAGGACAGGCGGACGGACGGAGACTTTGCTCTATCTCTCGCCGCCTTTGCCTTTTCGGCGGGGATAACAAAACTGGCAGTTACACAATTTTAAATGATGTTCCAAATATGACATTTGGGGAGGGAATTACACAAAGATTGGCAACAGATATCGGTTTTGTTTCCCTCGTCGTAGGTTTCTTTTTCGTGCAAGGATTGGCTAAAATAGCTACAATTGGCCAAATAGCCGCGTTTGCCTCCTATTGAAATTGGTTGTTTTTCACCACGCATAATAACTCTATATCTCTTCAATTCTTAAAACAAGATATGAAATAAAGGAATATAATTTAAAGGTTACCTCGCATTCATCTGTTGTGTTATATGAAATGCTCTTTAGTCAGATAATAGTACAACATCTTCATGTCTATCTTGCAGTCAATATGGCGTTTTTCGTCTTTACGGAACCTTTAGTTCTACGAACTAAGACCTAAGTTCTAAGATCTAAGCCCTAGGATCTAACATCTAAATTGAATTGTTGCCATCTAACTTCTGACACAAAACGGCCTCAATGGGCTTCCGTAGGCTTTAGTAGTAATCTGCCCTTATGCATTTTCAGCTAGTGGCTTCGATTGCCTTATCTTATCAAGAAGCCTACTTCACATTACTAGACTAAGTGTGTGTGATCAAATATTGTGTAATACATGGCCTAGGGGGACGGAACGCTTAAATAAAATCAGGTATGTGTTTTGTTAGTAAATATAATCCTGTTTTATTATTTTTTATATTGCATTTCATGAATTTTGCAGTCTAATACAGAATGTAATATTACAGCTTTCAACTTTCAGAACATTGTAAAAAAGAGGCAAAATTTAGTTAGCCGCTATATAAACTGGAAAAGGGCAATGAACCTGGTTCTTAAGATAAGAATAATGGCTGCTGGGTAAAAAATGATTTAAGATAATTCCATTTATTAAGCATTTATGAAATATAAACCATTTAAGTCGTCGTAAATCTGCATTTTTTACTCATTTACGCTAAAAGGTATCATTTAAACTGCAAATAATAATTACAAAATATTGGTACTGCAACCAAGTTTTTTTTCAGAGCTTAATTAGTATTACTTTAACAATTAGACTTTGAACATTACATAATTGTTACTTAAGAGAAAATATTTGTGGCCATTTCAAACCCGCGAGAAAATTTATCGTTTTATCATAAAATGTCGAGTGCAACTTAAAACCAGCGATCTGCCGAATTCATACAAATGTCGCGGGAAACGTATAAACCTCTATATTTTATACAGTTGTTTGAAACAGCAAGGAGCATTTTGACTCCAGTGGGCGGTAGCGTTCATTGTTTGACTGTACATTTTCCCCTCTTTTGTCTATAAAAAGTCAAGAAACAGAAAGAAATCCGCGACAATTTTTTGCAAGTGTTGTAGAAATTCTTCAGAAAGTTGAGAGGAAAATTATAGGCCGCGACGATTTGTTCCTTTACAACGGTCTCATAAAATATCGCGGCGATTAATAACAATTTTCAACCGAGACTTTTTAAAAGATACATTTTCCGGCATAAAAGGTTGAGGCTTAAGCCTGCGTCACATTACACTCCGATTAGGTTTACGATGGGGTACCGATGTCTGAACGGGCTGAAATTGCCAATTTTTTAAAGGTCTCCGGCCGATGACCCTCCGGTGTCAAATTAATTTTCTTCCGGCATCCGGTACATCTCCAGCTCACCGTAGCAGACACGGTAAAATACCCTCCGATACCCGGCCGGGCACCTTTTGTTATCGGTTACATATCGGTTAAAATTTTTTGTTGCAAATAGGCCAGATAACAGAAGGCAACTGGACATTTATCGTACGGTAGTCTGTCGATTACCTTAAGAATATCGACCGGTGTCAGGAGAGAAGATGCCAAGGGTTTTAACCGGGTGACCGGGCGAGTACCCTTCGGAAACCGTCCGAATGCCTAATGGACCACAGAGGGAGAATGACCGTCAACTTCTACTCGGACATGATTGAAATGTTTCTCTCCGATCTCAAATTATCAACGGTGTCCCATCGATCCCTCAATACCGGACGGTCCCCGCTTATATGTGACGTAGGCATTAATGCTCAAAGCAGACTTTTAACAAGGTATGCATCATCATAATAAAATGTTGAAAATTATAACGGTGGCAATCGGATACTTAAAGAAGGCATTTGTTTACGTACCTTAGTCAACTATGTGGACAGAAAAATTCGCGATTTCTTCCGTAAAACTCAACTTTTTACAACAGAAGTGTGACAGAAACTTTCGAGAGTCTTCATAAGCTTCGACATTTTATACAATTTCGACATAAAATCTCGCGGATTTAAAAGTTGCCCACGACATTTTATAAACTGACGGTAAAATTTCTAGACGCTACCGGCCGCCATAGATGAAAGAGAATTGCATAATTGTATCTGGAGCTGTTTTTTTATACAAATTCATTTAAGTTTGATTGTGTTAGAAACTATAAGCCTATTATTTCTGCTAGTATCGTCGAAAATCTGACACTTGGTTTATAGAGATAGTATGTGTAGTAATATCAGCAGTTAGCTATATTATAAATATATGCACATTGAACATGCTCAATAACATTTCTAGAAAAAATTACATCTTGTTGAGTATACACGTGTTTGTGTTATATCACTATTTTGTGAAGTCTACTTGAGTATTATAACTCCCGGCAACATACAAAAAGTTTTCGGGAGCAAATCTGGCAAATTAAGAGAAAGACTCATAAACGAGCGATAAGGCGATACAAATAGCTTAAAGCATGGGATATGCTTAACAGAAAATGATGACCATAGGGCACATCGATACGGCAGATGTCCACCACGTTCAGAAAAAAACCGAAACAGGAAGGCAGACGGAAGAACGAAAAAAAAGTGTTTTAGATGCGGAACATTTCACACGAAATATCTAAACTGTCCAACAAAAGGGAATAAAATGCAACGATTGCGGGAAACTCAATCATTTTAAATCTGTGCGTAAATCTATCAGTGTACATGTAGTGCAAAAAACAAAATGTTATGCGAAATTACATTCACAGTGATAATGAGATTGTTTCATTCACACGGTAAATAAGTTTCATTATTCTCGACCAAACTGCGTTTCTGTTTCACCTAATGCGCTGTTTAAATTTCAAATTGGATACTGGGTCACAAGCTAACATATATTGCCGTTCGCACAATATTCACTTCTGCAGCTTACAACATCCATGTTACCCCCAGACAGTCAGCTGTCATCCTATACTGGTGGCAAATTATCAGTGATAGGGAATGTAATGTTAACATGAAGTTATAAAGGGAAATCCGTGAAAACTACTTTTTATGTAGTAGATAGTCAATCCCCTGCTCTGCTAAGTTTGCAGACATCAATTGACCTTGACCTTGAGCTTATCAAGTTAACATTTTCTGTTGATAAGCAGGGTGTCGAATTATCAAAACAAACGATACTTTCAGATTAAAATGACCTGTTTAAAGGCATTGGCCTGTTTCAAGGGACGTGTTCTTTGCATTGAAAAGAAAATGTAGTGCATGTAGTATGTCAACCGAGACGAGTTCCCGTAGCACTACAGGACAAGCTAAAGAAAGAATTACAATCTATGGTGGAAAAAGGCATTATTACAAAGGTTACAGAACCGAGTGAATGGGTAAATTCTCTAGAAATTGTAGAAAAACCCGCAACATGTAAAATACGAGTATGCTAAGCTTAGATCCGAAAGCACTGAATGACAGTATTGAAAGACCGTAATACCAAATACGTATAATTAAGGATGTAGCTGCCAAATTAATGGACACAAAATATTACAATGTGCTTGATGTCACTAAAGTTAACTGGTCCATTAAACTGAGAGACGAATCGTCATATCTGACTACCGTTAATAGCCCATTTGGACGATATCGGTACTTGCGTTTACTTATAGGAATTCGCAGTTCACAGGACATATTTTCAAGAAAATTTGATGAATCTTTCGAAGATTAGACCGGTGTCACGTCCATAGTTAATGACATTTTAGTGAACGGGCGGAAAAACAAGAGCACGATGAAAATCTTTCAAAGGTGCTGTGACGGGCTAGAGCAAAAGGTATGAAAATTAATCCAGACAAATGCATAATTCACTGTAGGTGCAAACGAGGTCAAATACTTTGCTCAGACGGAATAAAATATGATAAACCTGACCCCGACAAAATTTCAGCAATTATAGACATGACTCCCCCCCCCCCCCCAGAAAAAGTTAGAAACTCTGTTAGGCATGATAACATATTTTGGCAAAGCTTAGCTCAAATATAGTTAGTCCTATGAGGGACTTGCTAAAAAAGACGTATAATTTATATGGGACTGTGCCCAAGATGAGGCATTTAAGAAAGTGAAGCAAGCTATTACGCAATACTCGGTATTTAATTAGCTTATTACGACCCTAAGAAACCAGTCAAGCTCCTAGTCGATCCGAGTAGCTTAGGTATAAGGGTCACCAAGTTGATAAACCAATAGCATTTGCGTCAAAGATATTGACTCAGGCAGAAATTGGTTATGCCAAGTAGAGAAAGAAATGCTAGCCATTCCTTGAGGTTTAAATAGATGCAGGCAATACTGCTATGCAAGGCACACATTTGTGGAATCCGACTACAAACCGATTGTTTCTATTATGAAGAGACACCATGTGTAATACACGGTTTACACCCCCACGACTTCAAAGAATGTTGTTACAGTTACAACAGTATAACATTGAAGTCATTCATGTCAGCGGCATCCACGAAATTTTGTCAGTGACACATACCCAGATTTGACTGAGGGTCTCGAATTACACATACATACAGTCATAAATAGTTTGCCTATAAGTGACGAGAAAATTGAGCAAATCCGTTCAGCCACTCAAAATAATAGTCAATTTTAAACGTTGAAATGAACTATACTTGATGGATTGCCTGACCATCTATAGAAATGACTGTCCAAAAAATGTGTTAGAGTTTTGGAATCATAGGGACGTATTGTCTGTTAGAAATGATATAATCTTAATAGGTCAAAAGATTGTAATACCCAAAGACACGATACAACGATGATACATGCACACTGCGCATGCAAAATAGCATGTATAGCCAGTCTCGGGATTTTAAGAGAATAAATTTACATCTTGTAGAGTATACACGTGTTTGTGTTATATCACTATTTTGTGAAGTCTACTTGATTATTATAACTCAAAACAAAAAAACAGTATACATGTATAGGAAATCACTTTTCCTTCTTGTTGAAAACTAAAAAGTTCAGAGCTTAAATATTTTAGTATGTAGCCTTGCCTAGTAGATCTCTGTAAAAGAAATTATGATTTATGTCCGTTGGGTAAAAAGGCATGCCCCTGATGTCGCTTAGTAATAACTGAGGGTCGGAAATAAACAAGCATTTCATTCTTTGCAGACGGATTTGTTTGCGTCTTTCAAGCTAAAAGAAACTGATTACAATATAATTTATTACAAACGATTAAAGCCTATTTTTCAATATTGAAAGCATTGGATTGTTATTCAGTTGGTGACTGGTTCCTTTTGCGCCGTTTGAAGTATTTTACTTTTTAATCATTTGTAAATTTGAAAAAAAAAATTTTAGTTCGTCGTCCGTTGTTATTAACTGTTTCTATAAAGAACACCCCAACTTCTCTGTGAATTTTGACCAAACTTTACAAGCATGATCCTTAGGTGGCCCTCAATAAAGTCTTATAAATTGCTTCAGCCTGATGCATACATAGGTCACAGAAGCTAAAATATACTTAAGAAATGAAATCCCACCCAAACGTCTCTTCTACAACTATAATTGTCCTGCCCCTAGAGTCACTACATTTTTACTGACTGATTAATACAGAAAAATACATTCAAGTCTTTGTTTTGAGGAACTGCAGTTATGTGGCATGTAACATTGCCTAACTGTCACACCATGACGTTCTGGTCAGCGTTCTATAAAATTTTAGGAAACGTTGGTAGTTGCAAATGGTTGCTGGGAAAGAGCCAGAAGAACGTTGTGACGTCAGAAATCCCGCGAATCAGCGTAGAACGCTGGTCCGTAAAAAGTTTTGAACATGCACAGAAGTTCTCACTTAGACCAGCTATCTTCAACGTTAAAATTTCAAACGCTGAAGGACCTTTAGGAAAATTAATGGAAGGTTTTACTAACTTTCACTGAGCGTTGCACCCGTTCGGCTATCTTAGTCAGTCGTTACTCAATCGCTACTTGGTTGTTTGCTTTGCAGTGAACGACTCACTGGCGACCTGTCACCGACCGCTGAATGGTCTTCAAGCGCACAAAACGCGTGACTTAAGGTAAACAAACATCCTTTCAGCGTCCATTGAGCGTCATTCGACCGTTTCACGAACGTCTATGCATATGTATAAAGCAAGGTTCAATTGATTTTAGACTATCGTATAGAACACCTTCTATGGGAGATCCTGAAAAATTTAGTAGTAGGCTATATATGTTTGCTATAGCAAAGAATCTAGAAGATGTACTGAACTTAAACATAACTGAGGGAATTCATCCGCAGAGAACACCCCGACATTCATCCACAGAGCAGAAGACCCCGACGAAGACAACAGCGTTGGACAAAATCATGAATTTAAAGAAGTCAAAGATTTGGAAATACAAAATGTAAGAAGTAGGAGAAGCCCTCATCCCAATCTTTTTTTCTTGGCGTCATAATGCTGACTATACAAACTCACAAGAACAACTGAATTCACTATCTATGAAATTCTAGCGTTCTGTACCCGTATAGTCGTAAAAAATAAACACACCATAAAACACTAATATGTCGTTATTCACGCGTTAGCCACACGCACACAACGTTCGTCAGGTGTTGACAAAAAGTTCATCCCGCGCCAGTGGCACGTTACCACACGCTTTTAGGTTTCTGACGTATTTAACTTGGTTACTGTTGCATTAGACACACGCTAATTATGTACGTTAGACGCACGTTTATCACACGACAGATGTGTCAACCTCATTTAATAACGTTCAAAAATTGAACGATTGAAACGTTGATAGAGAGTTGACCAGAACGTTATGGTGTGACGGACCCTTAGCAGACCTCTACAAAAATCATAGAAGTAATGTCCCTTGGGTCAAAAAATGGACCCAACCTCGGGTCACATAGTTTTACAGACTTGCGTGAAGTAAAAAGTCTACAATGCCCAGAGTTTAGATATCTGGCATGTAACAACACATTGTGGTCCTTTACAAAAGTAATATAAATCATTATCCAGAAAATTTGCCCCGCGTATGGGGTTACTTATTTTATAAAGACATATAGCAAAAGCGATTAAAGTTAACAATGCCACGGCTTAGATAATTTGCACGTAGCATTGCCAAATAGATATCTAAAAAAGGTTGCGCGCCTTGTGATAAAAATGACTCTGCCATACCGGTATAGTTCACACATACCTGTATTGTTAAACATTTCAAAACTTCTCAAAACTACAAAAGCCAGGTCTAAGATATTTTGTGCGTAACAAATCCAAAGGAGATAAATACAAGAGCAGTTAATCTTGCTTTGGTGTGCTTATCAGCAACATTTGATAAACATTTTTATTCAGGCTTTTTGTAGCTTTTATTCACTCAATTTCATCCGGTTGTAGTCTACTTGAGACAAAAACGTTGTATTTAAATTTTTGCGTGAGGTAAATGTCATACGTGCCTAGTAGTATAATGCATGACAAATGCATTAAGTTTTTGGCCCTAGACATTAAACACATGGGTCGCCTGATGATAGCCAATTAGGCAATTGTATTGAAGGGTAATTTAATAGTTTGTTTCCTATATATCTCATCTGCATCGTAGCATGTTGCAATAACTTGAGGTTATCTTTAACCAAGTCCTGTCAAAGTTTCACTCTAATTGCATTAGTAGTACTGTAAAAAATGAAAGAAAATTAAAGGTCATAACTCGGATAAAATCATTGAACTGGAAAATAGCGACGATATGCACAACTAGATTTGGCACTGATTATTCCTGAAAAGTTTAGATAAAATTGCATCAGAAGTCCGGACAAGTGCTGTGACAGAAAGACAAACAAACATCGAATTTTTCACTTGAAAGTTATCCAATCAGTGGTGCAAAAGTTATTGAAAATAGCACTTTTTATACTTTTACAAAAGATTCTGAATAACCTATTTCATTCAATTTGGAGATTCTCGTTTAGTCTTTCTATAAATATTAATCGAAATAATTCCACAATATCGATACTTTTTGAATAGCTGCGTTGGTCACATTTGCGATGGCTCTTTCACATTGCCGATGGTAACGGCACCGTGTCGATGGCTTGATCACATTTGAACAAATGTTAATATTTATCTCAAACTAAGCTCTGTGAAATAGTTTTCTAAAGATCGAAGTGATAATTTCTATCTTATGTGCAATTAATGACTGTATTTTGTAGTATTTATCATCATATTTCTACTGCGTTACTAACGCAGTAGGGGCTATTTATGCATGTTTTGACTTCTTTATGGTAATTTACGTGGATTTTAAGTGCCGATTGTAATGTGATAAGTACTTTCTTTGTTCATTTAACAATATTTTACCTTTAAATACATTTTCAAAATTTTCATGAAAATTAGGATGAATCTGGAGGCATGCTGCTTTAAAGTTTACATAACATATTTACAACTTTATAGTTTTAACATAGTACTTTTTACAAACAATATTTACAACATATATTCATGTCATATCTATTTGTTAAGTAAGCAGTCAACTGTATAAATACAATGCAAACATCTTTCATTTAAAACACAACAGTCTTTTGTTGCCTTTCACACCTTCACACCTCTGTTCAATTTATACCAAAGTAAATAACAACTTTTTATGGTGCTAACATTATCACTTTTTTCACTTGAAATGGGATTTTTTAGAATAGAATTTTTTTTTATTTTTATTTATACATTTTAGGAACATAGCACATGATACAAAATATAAAATCATACAGTTAAGAGATAACATATATAAATCATATAAATAAAATGAGATCATAAAATTGCATAAAAGAGCACACTTTTGTCATAAAAAATAAAATAAGAGGTACTATGCACCTATGGATAGCCCATTAAGCTAAATGCTTATTTCCAATGGGGTCCATAGAAATAAAAAAAAACAACATAATTTTAACCCTTTCCCCCCCCCTAAGAAAAAAAACAACAAAAAACAACAAGATAAAAAACTAAACTAAACTTTGGTCAAAATTTTGGTTGAAAAAGGAAATATATTTATAAAAGTATGCCCTTTTTAAAATAAGCCTAGTATTACTATCACAGAAATATTTGATCACAGTGCCTAACACATTAGTTGTACACATATATATCTTCTGAAAGACTTTTATAACTTTCTAGTAGGTACTTTTTAACAGATTTTTTGTATTGCACAAAATTATTAATGGATTTTATATACTCTGGCAGATCATTCCAGTCTTTAATTCCATTATAATAAAAGGTCTGTTTCATCACAGAATTACACTGGGGGACAATAAAATTAAAATTGCTTGATCTAGTGTTGTAAAATCTTGCATCAGCACAACATCTAAAGTCGGCTCTAAGGTATGATGGACTCTTTTTGTAAAAAATCTTATACATATGATTGAGTCTTAACTGTTTGACTCTGTTTTCTACATTTAACCAATTTAATTTTTCAAACTCATACACTGTTACAGAAGTTCTGGGCGTTAAGTTTTGGACAAATCTTAATACCTTATTCTGAGTAATTTGTAACTTTCTTTTCAAATGTTTTGATAAACCTTCATACCAAGAGGAACAAGAGTAGTCAAAATGACTAAATGAAGAAATTAATTAGTGTTTATTTTTCTCTTTTACTAGTAAAAACAAAGTAATAAAAGATTTTAATAAGAGTATTTTAGGGTAAAGAGTCATTGAGTCTGTTTATCTTAATTTAATTTTTACTTAAGGTCTTTAGTGCTTTTTATGATGAAAACTATGCTAACATTTGAAGGAATATTGCAGTAAATTATCTTTAGATTTGATAACTTACTTTTTCACGAAAATAAAATATAGTTAATGTCATTTACAGCTTTATTTTATGAGAAAAATTGATGTTATTTTTAATTTTTATCAACACCAAAAGTACTGGGTAATGCAGTAGCAGTACCACTTTTTAAGACAGTAATGCAGTACCAGTACCAGTAGTAGCAATATTTTGTAAGAGTAATTCAGTATCAGTACCAGTACTTGCAAAATTGATGCAGTACGTACTGCAGTACCAGTACCAGTACCAGTAATGCAGCTCTGCTATAAAGAAATCACTACAGATGTGTCTCAACGTAGTAGAAAACACACGTAGCATAGCATTCTCCGATTTTTGGAAAACAAGCATATTAAAAATGCGACTATTTTTAGAAACCTTTTTCAGCTTTGTTTCGGCTGATGGCTCTCATTTAAACAGATCCCCGGAATATAAAAGAGCCATCTGAAGTAGGAGTGATATACCGCTCGCAACGGTAGTTAATAGGCACAGATAAAGTATAGCAGTCTCAACTACAGAGGGTTCATTACAATAATTGATTTTTTTGTACATAACAAGTGATTTGTATATTATTTTACTTGTTTCTTTTTATTTCAGAGTCGACAGGTAATAGCACGTGACGTTATGGCAGAAGGAGGTGACGATCCGTAAGAATTGATTACTTAATATATACATCTTATTGTATGTTTTAAACATCACTGCTAGAATTTAAATAATCAAAGCAAGATACAAATTTCCGTTTACATTATAAAACTCGATCTTCCGGGTTTGGATATTTTTAGAGTCTTATGTATGTTTTCAACTAAGACGCATGTGTTTAATCTAAGCATTTGCATTACATGCATGATTATAATTATTGTGCAAACACTTACACAACTGTTAAGGGAAAAACAACTGATTGTTTCAGAAAGAATGAAAATAGTTTTAAATCTACATTTTTACAGAAACACTAAAAATTGGCTGCAAGTGACTTGCCAAAGAGAAGCAATTATACATTAATGTCTCTTAACATAATCATCATTGGGTCAAAAAATGGACCTACCCTCGGGTCACATAGTTTAGCAGACTTGCGTGAAGTAAAAAGTCTTAAAACTTCAACTACAATGCCCATAGTTTAGATATCTGACATGTAACATTTAATAAATAAAACGTCGCCCCGCGGGCGAAAGTTAAGAAATAAAACGACGGGGGCGTGGAGCGAAAACACGCTAATTAGCGCCCCTGCTAATTGGCATGTTTTCCTTCCCTGCCCCTGCCATTTTTACTTGTTACTTATTGACTTCTCCCTTGGCGTGGTCGCGGGACGAAAACACGCTTATAAGCGAGGGCACGTGGCTAAGTTTTATTTATTTCACTACGCCCGCGCCCCCGCTAATAATCATATGTTCGTCCCGCGACCCCGCCGTTTTATTTCTTAAATATCGCCCCGCGCTCCCGCGGGACGAAGTTAAATTCATTAAACTTCGCCCACCGCCCTCCCTAATAAGCGTGTTTCCGCCATTTTAACATGTGAATTATCGACTTTTCGCTTGGAGGAATCACGGGACGAAAACACGCTAATAAGCGGAAGCGGCGAAGTTTTTTTTTATTAGATCACTTAGATCGAGGAAATTAGAGAACTTTTTTATTTTCTCATTTTTGTGAAGTTGGCGGCCGCCAAGTTGGCGGCCTGGCGGCCAAAAATTTTAATGTTGTAGAAATGTTATTTAAACAATAAAACATCATTTAATGAAGTTCTAAAGAGAATTCTTGTTATTTAAAGGATGTATAAAAAGGAAAAATTCACTTTGAGAACACTTTTTTATTTTTTCATTTTTGTGAAGTTAGCGGCCTGGCGGCCCTGCGGTCTGGCGACCAAAAATTTTAATGTGTAGAAATGTAATTTAAACAATAAAACGGCATTTAATGAAGTTCTAAAGACAATTCTTGTTTCTTAAAAGAAATATGAAAAGAAAATATCACTTTGAGAAAGCATTTTTATTTTATCTTTTTTTGTGAAGTTCTTTAGACAATTCTTGTCATTTAAAGGATATATAAATAGAAAAAATCGCTTTGAGGAAACTTTCTTATTTTCTCATTTTTGTGAAGTTGGCGGCCTGGCGGCTTAAAATTTTACTGATGTTAAAGTTTGGACATGAATGAAAAACGACTTTTAAGTTCAAGTTTGGTATTTTTCGCCATTTATAGTTTTAAAACATTCTACCGATGCCATTTGCCAGCGACGAGCACGCTTCGAGCGGAAGTGTGAAGCTGTTTAGTTTAGCCAATGTAGTTGTAGTTACATGTATATAAGTATAAAATCAAATCGATTTTATTTATATAAAACATATCACAAAAACATAACACGTGTATAGATTTTGACCGACATACATTTCAAATTATATTTAAGCACCCTTCAGACACCTGGTAACCACTATTTATATCATTTATTTGAACAAAGTTATGGCAATTAATATGAAATTACAAATGTTTATCGAAAATATTAATTCCTTTTGCATTATTTTCATTTGACCGAATGTCTGTCAGATACTAAGCTTTTAACAACATATACAACACTATCAAAATGCATAAAACTGGTAAAAGCACATATGCCATTTTATAAAGAATTATATAAGACGTGTAAGCAAAGTTTAAATACGTAAATATAATAAAAATCATATTTACATATATAATCATATACAATACACATATTACTTTATATTTATTGAGAGTACCTTCTTTTTATCATTCATATTTCTACTAATATGTCTAAAAGTCTATGTATAAAGCAAATTAATGGTTGGTTTGAGATAAAGTTTGCTGTGAAATTAGATAATTAAATACGTGTGTGGACTTTATTTTAATCAAATATAAGGTTAGCTTTTAAAAAAGCTAGTAGCGACTCGCTTCGTTTTTTTTTTCCAGGGGTGTGTTTAACTGTAAAAATGACAGTTCTGTTAGCTGAAGAGACTTCAGCGAACATCAAAATAAAAGTGACATATAGAAATATGAGTATATATGAAGATGCATGTAAACAGATAGAATGAAGTCCCTATGTTTATGCACATTTACTATATGGCCTGTTGACCTTGACCAAAGAATGTTAGATAGGTAGAATTCATAAAGATGTCTCTTTATACGAAGTTAAGTTGTAATATGTTATTTAGTATTGGAATGAGTGACAGACACAAGCCCTTTGTCAATCAATTCAGCCAGAAAAGTCGGGATCGTATTAAAAAATATAGGGATCCCGGAAATTGACCAGTCTAAGAAGATGTTTTTCAGGATTAGCCGGGATCGTATTAAAACATATAGGGATCCCGGGAATTGACCAGTTCAAGAATATAGTTTTCAGAAAAGCCGGGATCGTATTAAAATATATAGAGATCTCAGGAATTGGCTAGTTCAAGAATTTAGTTTTCAGAAAAGCTGAATATATATAAAACATTATAACATTAAAATATTAAAACATATAGGGATCCCGGGATTCGACCAATTCAAGAATATAGTCTTTGATAAATCATTGTGATAAGATGAGCTTGACCTATCAAAGTTCATTCAGTTGGGTAAAAAGGCAAGATTTTAGCATTTTATGATTCAAGCGCCTTGTCCGGTATATACCGGAATACGGTATTTAGTGTGGTGCTCCAATCCTTTTTGGCTTGCAGCCACGGCTGCAAGCCATTTCATCTGGAAAACTTGTTCCGGTTAGGTGGTTTCCTGCTTACATCTGTTGGTGCATGATTGAACGGGAAACCAGCTGCAATCGTGCCAATCGCAACTTTTCGGCCTTTTCCGTCAGTCTTCGGATTAATGATAATAGCCGATGTAGTTCCGATTGCAATCGTGACAATTCGGGCGATTCCGTCATACTGCGGAGTAATATTACGGAAATCTAAGCTATTTTAGTTACTTCGGTAATCCCAGTTTGTGTATATAAATAGGATTTCTATTTTTACTTGATTTATCGGTTTAAACCGTCATAAATTATAAACGAAATTGTTCCGTTTCATTTGTTTTTCAAGACGCAAAAGTTAGTTTCTTTTATTATTGTTTTTTTTTGTCTGTATTAGTTTTATACAATAGAGAATGGTGACTGTAGTATTATTCCGTCTTCAAAGGGTTGTCCTGCTTACCAAATCACGCATGATCGAGTTATATTTAGATCTACTGAACGCAATTAAACTTCTTGGTGTGGTAATCTAAAAATAGCCCATGCATATCATTAACCTTGCCACGTGCTGTTCTATGTATCATAGTTGATACATGCTTATTAATTGGTACCACGTAACGAAGTATTTTAGTGCATTTACTTGTCTATAAAGCAAAGGAATGAGTTCGCTGCGAAAAAGGGGACATGAGATGTGCACACTTGTTTTCCTTCAGTATCACGTTAATATTTTTACGATTGATCATTTTCTTTATTAGTTTTATACAATAGAGAATAGATCTAAATCGTTTTGACAAAAAAATATTCGGTTTTCCAAAAAAAAAAAAAAACAACTAAATAAACCCTTTATGATATACAAATACCGTTATTCAAAAAAAAATGTGATAATAAATTGAAACCCCCAAAAAAAGAACAATTTTAAAGGGTTGGGATGAAGGCACAACTGTGCAAGCCTTTCCTTTTAAAAGGAAACTTTATTTTTAGTCTCACTCAGTAAATACATACACTAAATACCGGAAAGGATAAAATGACCGGAAAAAAAAGAAAAAGATAAAAAATGCACAGAACCAAATGTACACTTATGTTTATTAACCAAACGAAAACTTACTTCAGAGAAAACAGGTGAAATCGCTAAATCAAAAGTCAGTGTAAATATGATTTATTGAAAAGAATTCACGAAAACAAACATTTAATCATCATTATATCTTTGCGCTCAAAGCAATACTTGCTGCTTTTTAAAAATGGCGTGAAAATTGAAGTTTTTTTTTACGCTATGTAAGATTAAATTTGATTTGCTAAATAATTTTGGATTCCAGCCCAGACAGATAAATTTTGTAGAAAGCTGGAAGCCAAGCTTCGATTAAATTTTTGGATGGATTGGGAGTTAAGGTTGTTTCTCAGTAAAATCCTAACGTAATACCGGCTCGCCGGCAAAATTAGACACATCATGACGAAATACAGTAATATGGAACGTCTTCATGGCGAAGTTGGTAAAGCCGTTGGTATGCGTCTTAACATTTCATCACGAGTTCGAACCTCAAGTTGTCTTACTTTTTTTTTCTTTCCCTATTTTTCTTAAAATTTTATGATAGATGCAATGAATTGGAATATCAATGTAGTTTTGTTATAATATCTAATAATTTTGATATACCGTGAAAAAAGTTTTATCCTGTGTTTTGTGTAGTATGTAGTAGTCATAGTATCATAATTTATTATCTCTCATGAATAGACTCCAAAGAAAATAGAGACTGCAAGAGTCAACTATATATATTTGCCTCGTTTCCAGAATACAACAAACATCCAAACATTGAAGAATTTGTACAAATAGGAAAAGAATATATATAGAAGTCAACACAAAAATTAAACTTATTACGAGCTCGAAGAGCATATAAAAAGGGCCTGCTAGAAATTGTGTATTACTGTTACGCAAGTGAAAAATAGATGGTAATGAAAATTTTGAACGGAACTTGTACTTGGAGTGATGAACATTTCTATTTT